TGCTCTTCAAAGTTCAAACTTTTCTGTGTCACAATGGACCAAGTGGAAGTGAGAATATATAAGTTGAAGCTTCACTTTTGACAGGGATATTATTTTTTTTAATTCGGAGAATTAGTTGGAAAAGAGGAAGTATATCTCAAAACTAAAATTTAAATCAGGTGTTTAAATACATTATGTTAAGTAAATGACCACTAGATCACAAATATTAGATTTTTTATTGAAATCTTATTGGGACTGGAGCTATGAAAAATATAAATCTAATGGCAGCAATGATCTACTAGCTTTTAAGGTTCAAAATGTTGTATGATTTGTCTAATTTCTGGTGTAATAATTGTCATTTGCCAACCACGCAATGGATTGATATTTCATTGGCATGGGAATCTTTTGCTTTTGTTTTTTTGTTTTTTTTGTTTTTGTACAAAATCTTTCCCACATCCTACTGTGTTGACCGTCTTGCTTAGTTGAAATCGAGGAATAATTGGGGTGGTGTTATTGCCACAGCCACTAATGTTAATGCCACAGCTTTTTTTAGTTATTTGACCATTAACCCACGCGGAGAAGGTGGTGACTGCTGCAAGTTGGATTCAAATGAGGGGTATAATAGTCAAATAACTAAAAAAAGCTGTGGCATTAACATTAGTGGCTGTGGCAATAACACCACCCGAATAATTGGGCTACCCCACTAGTAAAATCTCCTTCATTAACTACAACTAGAATTTTTATTTTTTTTAATTTTTAAATTTTTTACACTTTCATGTTATGTCATTTAGACATAGAATCTATTATTGATCTAGAAATTATATTAATTTTTTTATGTATTATTGACCTACACTAAAATCTAAGACGTATACTGGATTTCATGAATAATTTATAATTTATAAACTTAATTAAATTAAAATTTTTAAGCATATGAGTATTATGATTAGAGTCAAATTCCTTAAAACTCAAATATAACTTGATGTTACGGTACAATAATAAACCAACTTAATTCAAATAACTTGATTTTGAACTTAATTCATAAGTTTTATTTAGTTTTCAAATTTAATAAAGGATTTAAATTAAATTAAAATCAAAATTTTCAATGTTTTATATATATTTAGTTTTTAATATAAATGAGTCAAATCAAATTTAAATTATAATCCGTATTTGATTTTACTTAATTTTTTATGGTAAGTTTTCAACTCAAACTTGATTTCGAATAAAATTGAATCCAACTCGAGTTCGAGTCGGGTAATAAACTCATTTACAACACTAATTACACCAACTTTGAAATCTTAATGACTATTAGAAGAATGTCTAGAACTGCAAAATTAACAAAGTGAAGGTTGAGGACCAACTTATACTTTGAGTTAAAAAATAAGGACCCAAGAAAGCAATTTAGCTTAGATGGAGAGAAGAAAACGCAGCATTTGTTTTCATCACGATTCACGTGCTAAAGAAAAGTATAATTAAAGTTAAAGCTGTCGCCGACCGTGATAATTGTCCTTCGGTAAGGGGCCTGACAGATTTAGACATAGACTAATTTGAAAGAAGTTTACAAAGTAGCGCAATTTACCTTAAAAGGAAAAAAAAAAGTTGTGCAATTTTCATCACTTTTTACCAAAGGAGTCAATACCGTACCGGCATGTGTACCGGTTTTGCCACTGAAACGGTACGTACCGGATACCAAAATTTTTCGCGTACCATTTCGGATTTATCGCTATAAATATATTTTTATAAGAAAAATTAATGTAATTCCTTTTTTTTTTCAACCATTAACCTAAACCCATTTTACACCTTCTGCTAAACAACAAAACGATGTATTTTTAATGAGAGGAACCAACATAATTTGACTTTGGAAGTTTGAAGTGATATTTTAATTCGCTTAACAAAAAAGATAAGGGCAGTGGGGACTGGGGGAACACAAAGAGACGATGGAGTGAAATTGCTTCAGACAGAAAATTCAACAATCAGGCAACATTGCTTCAAGTTCCCGCAAAATCTTTTGAATTTCCCGCCAAAGAGGGGGAGAAAGGCCCACCAAAATCAACCGTCACTTTCATAAATGGAACTGTCATTGGGAAGAAAGTATTTTTTATTCGTCATTGAGCCCAAGCTCCTAAGCTTTGGAAATAAATTAAATTAAATGCCCTGTTGTCCTTTATTTCTTTTAAATAAAATGTAAATTTTTATAATATTAAAATTATCTGTTTATCATTATCCTCGATAAAAATCCAATGCTTCACAACTATGTAGCCAGCAGCAGGATGCATACCAATACCAATAGAAAGAGTAACCTCGGAATGATGTGAAGATACCTGAGATGGAGCTGGGCTGCTGGAGAGTGGAGGAAGAGAGAGTAGTGGCTAGATCTGGACCGTCGGCAGCGGTTGGAGTGGCTGGAGTCTGGACCACCTGCGAGGAGTGGAGCTCAAGCCTTAACGACCGTTGGATGCTGGAGAACAGAGGAGAGGCGTGATCTGAAAGTGCAGCGTTTAATGAAGAAGCTTAAGGAGATAGAGCAATGGCTGGAGGCTGAACCTGGAGATCGACGACTGCTGGAGGAGAAAATAGGAGAGGCACGATTGAAATTGCAGGGTTAAGTGAAGAAGAAGGTGCCCCCAGCCAAAACGACGTCGTTTTGGCTGAGGATTCTTTTTTTTTTTTTCCTCTTGCATAATGTACCGGTCAAATTTCGGTGTACCGGTCGGTACTCGAAATTTCAACCGGTACACCGAAATTTGACCGATACGACCGAAATTTGACCGAAACGAAATTTTAACTTATTCCGTTTCGGTTAAACTTCAAAACCGGTACGAAACGATACATACTACTTTGCTTTTTACCATTGAATAAATTTGGAATGGGGTTTGGAGTCTAAGGGCACTCGCCTCTTGCAGCCTCCGGCCGACACTCCTCCTTTCATTGGGCCACATTATTTTAGTTCGGCGAGAGGTTGCAGTTCAGAGCTTAAACAACCTTACGTGGCCCAATGAAAGGGGGAGTGTTGGCCGGAGAGTGCAGGAGGCGAGTGCCTATAGCACTGCTCCAAACAAAAACAAGGCAGTCTTTTCAATTAGAGCAGTGCTAGGGGCACTCGCCTCCTGCACTCTTCAGCCAACACTTCCACTTTCACTGGGCCACATAAGCTTGTGTAGGGATGTCAATGGGGCCCCACGGGGCCGGGGAGTGCCTCCCCGTCCCTGTCCCCGCGAATGGCGGGGACGGGGATCCCCGCGGGATTTTTGACGGGGGGTAGATTTTGCCCCCCGTCCCCGTTCCCCACCAATTAATAACAAAGTGCAGCAAGCAGAGGAGGTCCGGCGCGGTGCAGCAAGCAGAGGGGTCCGGCACAGTGCAGAGCAGCAAGCAGAGGGGTCCGGCACAATGCAGAGCAGCAAGCAGAGGGGGTTCGGCACAATGCAGAGCAGCAAGCAGAGGGGGTTCGGCACAGTGCAGTGCAGCAAGCAGAGGGAGTCCGGCACAGTGCAGAGCAGCAAGCAGAAGGGGTCCGGCACAGTGCAGTGCAGCAAGCAAAGGAGGTCCGGCACAGTGCAGCAAGCAGAGGGGGTCCGGCACAGTGCAGTGCAGCAAGCAGAGGGAGTCCCACACAGTGCAGAGCAGCAAGCAGAGGGGGTCTGGCACAGTGTAGTGCAGCAAGCAAAGGGGGTCCGGCACAGTGCAGTGCAGCAAGCAGAGAGGAGTCCGGCACAGGAGCAGATCTGCAAGTTGCAGCTAACAGCTTTGACAGCAGCTCCAGGAGCAGATCTGTAGCAGCTCCAACATAGATATGTAGTAGATCTGTAGCAGCAAGAAAGGGAGAGGAAGGTTGAAGGTGAGGTGAGACTTGAGAGGTTGATTGTTCGGCAGAGACCAAGAGTGAGTGAGGGATTGTGGCTACGTGCGTGAGTGACAGAGGGAGGAGAAAAAGAGGGGAAATGAATAAAGTTAAAGTTATGAAATTAGGGTTAGAACTTGTAAGGACTAAGGAGAGGATGCTGGAATGGATATGGATTGTTGGGTTGGCCGGATGGGTAACATGGGTTGGCCGAATGGGTAACATGGGTTGGCCGGTTGGGTTGGATACTTGGGTTGGGTTGGATTGGGTTGGGTTGGGTTGGGTAAAATTTAATTTTTATTGAATTGGGTTTGGGTTAGATTTGGGTTAAGTTTGGGTTTTATTTTAAATATTAAATTGAATTTAAATTATTTTTTTTTAATTTTTCGCGGGAATGGGGATCCCCACGGGGCCACGCGGGGCGGGGAAAATTTCCAGTGAAATTTCACGGGGAAAAAATGCCCCCCGTCTCTGCCCCGCGGGGAGGAATATTCCTCCCCGTCCCGTCCCTGTGACGGGGATCGGGGGAAATTGCCACCCCTAAGCTTGCGTCGGTGGTTTTGGAACGCAACCTCTAAAAAAATCAAAATAACGTGGCCCAATCAAAATGAGGGTGTTGGCCGGACAGTGCATGAGGCGAGTACCCCTAGCACTGCTCTTTCAATTGTAGAGGGTTGCCTTTGACTGGTTACTTTGGTGTAAGGATAAATTAAAAAATGTCAGACATACAACAAACACTCCATTCTAAGACAGCCCAAAACAAAAGGACACGCGATTGAAATTCTCAACAAATTGCAGTAATGAGACGACTTTAATAAGTTGCATATCACTTGTTTGAACTTAATGTATTTGAAATTTCATTTTATAAGTAAGGAATTTAAAATTTGATTTCCCGCCCACGCCTTCTTTTGCCAACATAATTGTTTCTTTTAGTAATTTTTGAAAACGAAAAAATATTTTTAATTTAAGTTATATTAAATTATAACATAATAATTTTTAAATTAAAAAAGATTCTTTGATATTAAACTCTCTTTTTTATTTAAAAGTTATAATTTTATAATTTAA